AATCTTCATCTTTCCCCTCCAGTGAGATTTCCAGAATATGGCCTTGTAGCGCATGCCTCAATCCTGTAACTAAAAGTCGTTGGCTTGCTTTTTCAGACTGTAGATCTCTCCATTCAAGCCTTTGTCTTTGCCTCTGCAGATTTTGACTTTTTCCTGACTAATTTCTAGGTGGTTCTTATTTTGTTAACTACTAGCACAATCCAGTACTGCATTATTACTTTGAAAAGCTAAACTTTTTCCACTTATTTGGGAGCAAATTTGCTGTCTACCACCTTACTTTTAATCATAGATTCTTGAGATTCCCAAGGTTATGTGGCTGGAGATTAAAAGCTAGATAACTGCAAAAGCTAGAGGAGAACTTTGTCGTTTACTGGAAACAAGAAAGTCTGTGCTTTATTGCCCTGTGTCTTTTCATGACATCCTGTCATGATGCATCAGCAACACAGATAAATGCTCATTTCTGTCCTTATAGACAGAGTAATCATTCTGTTAACATAAACTATGAGATGATTTGCACAAAACAAGTGGTGCAGAAAAAATGGGTCCAAATGGAGACTCTTATTGGCCACACAAGTCCTTTATAGCTCACACAACAAACAGATCACTTGGGGTCAGTCAACTGAAAATTTACCCAAAGCAAGTCAGAAACGATAACCTTTTTTAATGCACTGCTGCTTTTACCTGGACATTCTGAAACGGATGCTCACACTGTTGAGAACTGGAAGTTACCTTTTCGTGTGGAATCAGCTCCTCAGGCTGTTTTGGATGAGGGAGAAGGTACTGCTGAGCGGGCTCGAGAAGCGTCACGTGCAGGGAGCACAGAGCTGCGCACCAGCGCCTGGGCTCTATCTAGTGCCAACTAAGGCCTCTGACATGAGGCATCCAACCTCACTGAATGTCTCTGCTTTCCTTCCCAGGGGGCTCAGAAGGAGCAAATAAAGAGTGTGTTATCATGATGAGTACTGAGTAATATATAGAATTGTTGAATCACTATGCTGTATCCCTGAAAGTCATACGCCACTGTGTATTAACTACCCAGGAATGAAAATTAAAAACTTTTAAAAAGGGAGGGGGGGCACCTGGGTGGCTCAGTCGGTTAAGTGTCTGCCTTCAGCTCAGGTCATGATCCTGGAGTCCCAGGATCGAGTCCTGCATCAGGCTCCCTGCTCAGCGGGGAGTCTGCTTCTTCCTCTGACCCTCCCCCCCCCATCATGCTTTCACTCTCTCTCTCAAATAAATAAAATCTTTTTTAAAAAAACTTTAAAAGAAGACTCTCTGTGAAAGCACTTTAAAACTCAAAAGTCATTATATAAATGCTTCTTTCTGAATCCTAAATCATCAACCCCAGCCTGACAGCCTTAATTGGAAAGCCCAATAATAAATGACCAGATTTCTCTTTTGGTTTGTTCACAGATGCTGATAAGCCCAGTACTTCCAAACAGGGTTCTGAAATGATGAAGAAGGTATCATCAGCTCTGTCCAAAGTATTTTCAAGATCTAATGCCAATGTTTCCAAATCTTCCTCACCCCCACCCCCCCCTCACCAGGACAGAAGCTGAGACTGTGACAGCTAACATCAATAAAGGTGCTGACCTTCCCCAAAAATAATAAATGGTTTTTAAAGCATGACATTGTGTCCTACACACTGATTCTTATAAATACTTTTAAATTCTTATAAATAAATAAGAGCAGAGAATGTACAAAAAGGCAGCTGGAAAAAAGAAGGATTTGATAAATGCTTCTGATAGGCATTTGGCACAAAAAGAGGGACTGTGCCTCCCATCGAGATACATCTGCCAGTAGGACTCAATCTCTGCTCTTCAGGGCACTGAAGCCTTGCTGGGAAGAGAAGACTAACTTAAAACCAAAAGGAACTGGAATTGAGGCAATCCTCAAAGGGCAGGTAGGTCTGGAAAGCACCAGGAAGGCTTTCACCTCTGGTCCCAGAGCTGCATATAAAGCCACCATGCCTGAATGATCTAATTCAGTGTTGTCCAATAGAATCTTCTATGATGATGGAAATGGCGTACACACACACATAGATATATAGATATACTCCCTCTGGCTACATTTTCATTCCAGTACAGTAGCCGCTAGCTCCACATGGCTATTTAGTCACTAGTGTAAGTAAAGAACTGAATTTTTCATTTTATCTCCATTTAAATAGCCATGAGGAGCTAGCGGCTCCTTCCTTCGATAGTGTCAGTCTAGTTAGTACATGGCTTCATGGGCAGTAGCCCATTCAGATCAGGAGAAGAGTTCCCTGAAAGTTCAGTTCCAAAGTCTATCCACAAATACCTAGGGCAAGGCAAGGATCTGACTCCTCAGAGGGGTTTTGAAGCCTCCAGTTACCCTCTTGGCGCCTTCAAGACACATGAACCACCGAAGTGGCCAGAGGGAGCTCATGCTTTCCAGTCATATCTCGGCTCCTGCACTTGCCAAAATTCCATTGATGGGGACACCTGGGTGTCTCAGTGGGTTGAGCGTCCGCCTTTGGCTCAGGTCATGATCCCAGGGCCCTGGGATCGAGTCCCGCATCAGACTCCCTGCTCAGTGAGGAGCCTGCTTCTCCCTCTACCTGCCGCTCCCCCTGCTTCTGATCTCTCTCTGACAAATAAATAAAATCTTAAAAAAAAAAAAAAAAAAAAAACCTCCATGGATGGAGAAAGGACAGGTCCCTTCTAGAACACCAAAGTCAAGGAATCACAAAGAGCAAATCAGAACCTGTACCTGCCAACTGGCTTCAAACACAGTGCTTGGCTAGAAACTGCTTCCATGAGACAGAAACACCACTCTGGTACTGAAACCACCACTCCGGCCTCCCTCTATGCAGTCAACAGGAAGAGGATCACTCAACTAGTCATTCTCATACCCCAACTTTATCCAAAAAGTTAGGTCAGAGGAAGGTCCCAGCCTTACCCAAAACTCCCTGGGGAAATATTTCCAGGCAAGTAAATTTCTTTTATGTTGTACCTATAGTCCATAAATGTTACGTTAACTGAACTTTTGCAAATAAAACGGCAGGCAGTTCTGCCCAGATATCACCTATTCCCAAGTTGGCCACCTTCATCTGTTCCCTCATTCCTTCCCCTACATACTGAAATTCATCACATGCAGCAGCCTAAGTTTTAAAGTCATTTTGTAATGGTTCACAATAATGACAAATACTAATCTTACATATGGATTTAATTTGTCTTTACTAATAATACAAATCCAGTTTGGAAGTCAAAAGTACAAATGGTGCGGTGAAAAGTAAGCCTCTCCACCTCTGCTCTTCTAGCTGCTACCTGGCTCTGCTCTCCAGAAGCAATCTCTTTTATCAATGGATCCCTCCTAAAGGCAGAAAACAGAGAAAGGAAGAGGTGGAGGGAGGTGAGAAAGGAAGGAGAGAATGCAACCATGCTATTTGACAGATACTATTGCCTCAAGCCACTGATTTGGTCTGTTTCTACGGTTTCATTTGTAGCTTCAAATAAAGTCGGACCTCGTTTTAAACAAATGTTTTTTGTCAAATGAGCTAAATGCCAAAAGGCGAGCCCCACAATGGGAGGAAAGATGCCTACCATAGTGATTCAAAGTCTGCTGGTCAAAATACACTAAGCATGTTTGAGCTAGTAGCTACACTCCTTGGAGATGGAATCATCTAAATGTAAAGAAATAGATGAAAGTACTAAAAGTAAAAATGCACAGCTTCACTTGCAATGAAAGAAAATGCAAATTAGAATAACCTGAAGTTATCACAATATACCTTCCAGAGAAGAAAAAAGGAAATGATAAATACCAGTGTTGTCCAGAATGTAGGGGAAAAATTATATTTGAACTCTACAGTGCTGATGGTCCCACAAATTTGATCTTTCTGGAAAGCAATCTAACAATAAGACAAGTTATGGTTCTGTCTGCACTTTTGGATCTGGTAACACCCCTTTGGGGAATGTGGTCAAGGGAATAATACAAAAGGAAAAATTTAAAAAGGACTCTGTATAAAAATGTTCATAACAGTAGTATTAATCATGATGAAAAATTAAAACAATCCAAGTGGGGGGAACTGGACAGCCTATTAACAAGAAAGAATGCTATATAGACACTGAAAATGACAAGGATTAGTGACAACCTAAACAAACAGAAATGCACATTTGAAATAAGCAAAACCAGCCTGCAAAATAAGATGTGTGCTCTAACAACCAGAGTATACTTTATGATTTGGTAATCATATGGCATACTAATAAAAAATCCAAAGAAGTTAGAGATTTAATAATCATGAAGGTTTTTTGCTGTTGTTAGCTACTTGCTAGTAAATGCCTTTCTCTTGAAGAAACATCATCGTATTCATCATCGACATCACTTCTTAAGCCACCTGTAACCCTCTTCTAAGCCAAATGGAATGATATCTAATACCTCAGTTTCTTATGAGGCATGACGAAAAGGAAAACATCAGTTCAGACTTTTTAAAATGGCTTCTTTAAAGAGGCTAGGTCATCTCCAATCATCCCCAAGGTACTCTTCTAAAGCCTAAGCTGGCAAAAGGTAGTCACATTTTTGACTGAAGTTCATTGTAGAGAATATACTGTCCTTAAATTAAATATACAATCACAACAGCCATATATCTGCATGATACACATATGTTTTATTTTTAAAATTTTTTTTTCACATATACTTTAGAGTAACAATTAACATATGTCATACAGTTTTGCCCCTTTATAGGACCTGGCACATCATTTCCGTATTTTTAGTGATTTATTTAGAGACCAATGTATCTTTGATGACATACTATTGGTCATATTTAATTTATAGAATACCAAATGCTTATCGTAAATGTAATTGTTGATTATTTCCTACTGAAAACTGACCTGCTCTTATCTATTTTATGACGCAGTTTCCAGTAACACTTGCAGGAATCAGGAGCCACTTATTTAGTAAAGGAAGAATGCTAGGTTAAATCCTTCTAGTGCAAATAATCACACCCCAAATTATGTCTTCAAAGTTTACATTTTCAGATAAAATAAAAGACATCAGGAAACATTTAACTTTATTCTTTGGTCCTAACAGCACAGGGAAGAGCATTTTACACTTCACTAGAATCCCACTTAGATGATGACCAGGTTATTCCTTTCAAAGAGCTTCAAAACATGTTTACAGGAGGGATGTCCTGTACCAGATAAGGATTATCTCCAATTTCGGATTCAATGAGTCCACAAACCGCTGAGATAGATACTTATTAGGTACATGCCCCAGTAGGTTAGAGGAAGCAAAAAGGGACAGACAGACAGACTAGGGTGTTAATTAGGCCACCATGAAAGAAAAGCTGATACGGCAAGAACCGAAAAACGTCCTTAAAGAGCACTTCATTCAACGTGGCTGTTTAGCCTTGAGATCACTGGGAATTTGCCCACCAATGAATTCCAACTGTCCTCTGTGAAGTGAATCCATTAAAGGAACAAGGAAACATTCACTGTTCCCAGCGATCCGCTAAAACCCGTTGCTGCCTGCTTGTGTCAGGCTTGGCTTGCTGCAGCGTGTACGTGCGCCTCTCAGATTTCTGACTGCAGGGGGCGCGGGTGACGAGCGGCTCCGGCTGCGGCCGCGGCAATCCGTTATCCCTGCGTTTCCACGAAGGCCAAGCTTCCGTCAGTGCCCGAATGTGGCAGGGACACTGAGACAGGCCATTCCTGTGAGACGCGGGGTTCCCTTCACAGGCGACTTGGGAGTCAGAGATGCTACCGGGGAAGAAGTCCAGCCTCACAAAGGACAGCAAGGACTAGACCTGTCACCACGTCACAGGGGCAGGAGGTAGACAGTGAGACTTACTGGCTTAGAACAAGACGGCGTATGACAGCACAGCAAACAGCAGCAGCAGGAGTACTGGCGTAGTTGTGCCGGTCCCCCTGTCCCAAGTCCCACAGGACAATGTAATGGGCTCAGGCGGATGCCACCCATGCAGTGGGTTGCATGGCAGCTGAGGAACCCGGGCTCGAGGGCCTGGGACTTTTTGAGCAATGAGCAAACAAACCAGTGTCCCTCCCCTGGGAAGCAAGCAGTTAAACGGGAGTCACACTGTGCTCACCTTGCCCTACAGAAATGGCTCAGTATTTGGAGACCAATAAGCCTGGCTTTAAAAACCCTCACCAAGAACGTGCAAGGATGCTCACGACCCACAGTGGACTGCCTCTCCCAACAGACGCATTTGCTTTGCCAGATGTTCTTAGAACTGCACCGCACAGTCCAAGGTCTTCCCTACCCACCGCTCCGCCCTTCCTGCTCTCCTCCACAGGATTTACACCTGCACCTAGTCTGTCCGGCAGCTCTCCTTGACTCCTCTGACATCAGGCATTGCCTGCTGGACAGAATGGACACGGTCCTGAGGGGGACAGATGGTCCCAGGCACAGGACGGCAAATTATGTCTTCAAAGGGGGACAGATGGTCCCAGGCACAGGACGGCAGTCCAACTGCTCAGGATTTCTCTGGAGATAACCTGGGAACACTGGGAGAATGGCCTGGCAGATGTGGTGACTCAGATCTTCGAAATACACGAGAAGAATAACACCTAGAGAGACGGTGGAGATGGCTGGACACTGTGAAATTGTACTGGACGCCCTGCAGCCGGGGAACGGAAATGGAAGACAGTTAATAAGGAGCTAAAGACCAAGCGTGAGGGCCAGAGGGCTTCTGCCGGAGCTCACAAAGCCCCTTTCTCCTGCAGTGAAGGAGCAGACCAAGGGAGAACATAATGGAGCGGCCGAACTCAAAGGAGATCAAATACTCAATATTTAACATGTGGCGTGTCTGCTTTGTGCCAGTCAGGGCCACATGATTCCATGTGGTTGGGAAATCCTGGGACCCTGAGACATGGAGTGGGAGCATCTGGCCAGACACTCCTCAGGGTGTTGGCTCTACGGACACCCCCACCCAGGCTTCAGTTTGCAGAGGGGACCACTCTTCCCTCCTAACAGCTAGCATTTCCTTTGTGCTGGAAGATGCTGCAGAGCCTGTTCCCCCGACAAAGCCACTCGCGTCCCCCTCCAAGAAGTTGTGCCTGGCCCCTCTCCTGGTTACTAAGCTGATAACTAGGATTAAATTCCAGCATAACCTGGCCTAATTAAGAGAAGAAAGTATACACCAAAGAGCTGCAAGAATTAGCTGATGGGTACTGACAGGAGCCACGGAAGCACTGGGGTTGGATTTCAAGGGTGCTATATCAAGAGGGGCAGAAAAGCAAAAATCAGAGACTCAGGAGCACATTCTCAAAATAGAGATTTAATCCCCTGGCAAGGACCCACAGGGGATACAAAGTCTCTACTAAGTGGTTCTTAGAGGCCTGGAGAAAGTGATGGCTACCACTGAGCAAAGTAGAAATGCCTGAGCTGCCCTGACCAATGGCAAAAGAAAGAATGAAAAGGCAGAAGGAAGCACACATGATGCAGTGGATAAATTGCACGAGGTAAAAACCCCCGTGAGAGGGTAGTGTTCCACGGTGCGGGGTGGGGGGGCTCAGCGGGAAGCAGAGGACACCTCATTTACCAAGGTCATCAGGAAGGCTGTGGTAAAAGGGGCACCAGCATCACTACATTCAGAGGTGACCTCCTCTGTAGGCCAGGGATGGCGGTAAGAGACCATCACAGAGCTGGGGCCCAGAGTAAGAGAAACCAGGTGGAGGTGCTACCCACCAGAAGCCAGGAGGCCACAAATACCAAAACAAACCACAAGGCCTGAGGGGCAGCCAAGGAAGCTTTACCCTCAAGGAGTTGCAGAGATGGCAAATGGACTAAGTGTCCCTAGGAATAATACAGATGGACAGCCAGCAAGGGTATTGAGATCTACAAGCTGAAAAAGACAACAGTGGAGGCGCAGGGGTGTGAGGGAGCTTTCCCAATAAAAAGTCCTCTAATTCCTTGCTCCATTTCCAGACTTCAGCTGTTTTCTGACCTCGAAGAGGTAGCTGGGTCCCTAGAAGGAAGGACAATGACGAATATCCCCCCCCCCCAGTACTTCCCCTAACGGGACCTATAGCCACTAACTTCAGTGTATATACACAGTGTACATAGTCGGACATTTGAGGAATACTGGGCTCAAGATCAAAGTTGACATTGATACCTAGAGACCTGAAGCATGACCACGGCCCAGTTAGACTGGGGGCTTCAGGGTTGAGTAATCACTGAAGTCCTGGCCTGAAACAAGACTCACAGGGGGCCGGCAGACCTACCTAGTGGTCATTTCCTACTCCTCAGGGGTGTAACTGGGATTGAGGTGGTGCTTGAGAGTAATGCCCACGGGGGCCCTGGGCCAGTAGGGCAAGAGCTGTCACGGTGAGGAAAGTCAAGTGGGAACCTCTGAAACTGATCCCCTCCCCCAGACACAACAATAAATGGAGATGGTTACTTTTCTGTGTCAACTTGGCTCAGGCTAAGTACTCAATTAGTCAATCAAACATCAATCTAGGTTTTGCTATGAAAGTATTTCATAGTTGTGATTAACATCTACCATTGGTTGATTTTAAGTAAAGGAGATTATCCTTGATAATCAGGGTGGGCCTTGTGCAATCAGTTGAAGAACTTAATAGCAGTTCCCTGAAGAAATTCTGCCTGTGGACGACAGTTTCAGCTCCTGTCCAAGTGTTTCCAGCCTGCCAGCCTGCCCTACAAATTTCAGACTGGCCTAATCAGTCCCTACAACTGCATAATTCAATTCCTTGCCCTACACACACACACACACACCTACCTCAGAGCTACTGGGGGTTCAGTTCCAGACCACAATAAAACAAGTCACTTGTATCTTTTCATTTCCCAGTGCATATAAAACTGATGTTTACACTGTAGTCTATTAAGTGTGTAATAACATTATGTGTAAAAAAAAATGTGCATACCTTAATTTAAAAATACTTTATTGCTAAAAATTACTAACCATCATCTGGGCTTTCAATGAATCATAACCACTGATCACAGATCACCATAACAAATGTAATCATAATGAAAAAGTTTGAAATGTGATTACCAAAATCTGACAGAGAAACGAAGTGAGAAAATGCTGTTGGAAAAATGACACCAAGACTTGTTCGACACAGGGTTGCCACAAACCCTTAATTTGTATAAAAATAACCACAACAGTCATCTGTGAAGCACAATTAAGCAAAGCACAATAAAATGAGGTATGCCTGTAGGCTTTCTCATCAGGAATTGGCTTACAGCAGGATACATATATCCTACTGGTTGTTTTCCTGGTAAAACCCTAATTGATAGATAAATCAAAACAATATTACATCTCAGGGGAGACAGAGTAGATCAGTGCAACTATTAAGACCCTAAAAGACACAGAGAATGGTAGCCCCTATATCTTTGCACCTATAGCCAAATGGGGGTTCCTGTGTGACCAGGAGAGGGAGAAAACAGCTTGAGCTTGGTTTATAGGTGGGTCAGCTCAGTATGTGGGTACAAAGTGAAGATGAATGATATCTGCATTACAGCCATATTCAGGGGTGCAGAAGGAAAACTTTTCTAATGGACAGGACCTCAAGCAGTGCACCTGACTTGGTGTAAAAGAAGCGGCCGAACATGAGAATATTTATCGGATATGCAGACTCCTGGGCAGTGGCCAATGGCCTGGCCGTCTCGTTGGGGGACTGGAAGGACCAGGGCGGAAGATCAGAGACAAGGAGAGCTGGTGTGAAGACTGTGGACTGACACATGGGAGGAGCAAAGTGTGACTAGTTCTGTATCCCATGCTAACAACCATCAGAGCATCCACCATGGAAGAGGCACTGAACTGGCAAGCAGACACAGTGGCTAAGCCAGGCGCACGGGCCTTTGGTCAGCGGCCACCACACAACTGGCACAAAGGACACATGAACACAGAGCCACACGACTGACAAAGGCCCAAGAGCAAGGACTCCCGCTTCCCAAGGCTGATCTCGCGGGACTCCTCGTGACAGGTGCTCTACCTCAAGGACTCACCGCATCATTGGTCTGGCTGACCCATTCTCAGAACTCCACAGCAGTGTGAGACTTTTCCTACCCAACCTTCCTTCTTGCCTTCCCTCTTCTCCAGAGGTTAGACCTCTATCAGAGTCTGACTGCTTTCCCAGACTCCTCCAACCTCCTTTCCCACTTTCTTTCATGGGCATTTTCCCCTTAAAAAAAAAAAAAAAAAAAAAATCTCTCGCACATCTAATCTTGGACCCAAACTAACATACCAGGTAAACTAATTAAATGTGCTCACTATTAAAGCTCTATTCCTTTGTTTTGCAGGGTCAGAAGTTCAATTTTAGTGATTCAGCAGCAGTATTAAGGTCCTGTGAATTAATTCCTACCTAACTCATAAGGGACTGATTGATAAAATAAAAGGACAAGATTCTCCAAATGAGAAAAAACTGCCAAGGAGACCAGAGAGATATGCAATGAAGCTGACAAAGTATTCCCATCTCAGCAATAACAGCTACTTGAAAAGGAAACTCAGCCCACAAGTAGCCTGGTAGGTCTGAAACTCGGAAAGGGAGCTGGCTAGCCAAAAGGTAGAAACAACCCACATGTCCATCCACTGAGGAATGGACAAACAAAATGTGGTCTATCCATACAATGGGATATTATTCAGCCATAAAAAGGAACGAAGTCCTGGGACGCCTGGGTGGCTCAGTTGGTGAAGCGTCTGCCTTCGGCTCACGTCATGATCCCAGGGTCCTGGGATGGAGTCCCACATCGGGCTCCTTGCTCAGCGGGGAGCCTGCTTCTCCCTCTGCCTGCCGCTCCCCCTGCTTGTGCTCTCTCGCTCTGAAAAAATAAATTTTTAAAAATCTTAAAAATAAAAAGGAACAAAGTGCTGGTCCATGCTACAACACGGATGAAGCTCAACAACATACCAAGTATGGCCCAGACACAAAAGGGCCACATGTTGTATGATTCCACTTATATAAAATGTCCAGAATAGGTAGTTCCACAGAAATGGAAAGCAGACTGGTAGTCGACAGGGACGAGGAGGAGGGAATGGAGAGTAACTGCTTCATAGGCACAGGGTTTCATTCTGGGGTGATGGAAATGTTTTCGAACTACACAGGAGCGGTAGTTTGGCACACTATGAATGTACCAAATGCCACTGAATTGTTCCCTTCAAAATGGTTAATTTTGTTATGTGAATTTCACCTCAATAAAAATAAATAAATAAATAAATAAATAGCAAGGAGGTGCGTGGATGTTAAAAAAGAGACATTTAAAAAATTTTTTAAAAAGAGGGTGGGGTGCAGAGGGAGCGGCCTGGCATTGAGAATTACTATCCCATTCACATCGAGCTGTCTAGACCTAGTTAAACCACCCTTCTCTACGCACGGCTGTACCTGCCAACTGGAAAGGTCACCTACACCTCTAGCACAAAGACTAGAATTCTAGAATTGCCTGCTATTTCCCCTTTCCTGGCAATTTCATCATACACTGGGGTCGTAAATTCAAGGACCACATTTATGAAACCAAATTTAGAATACCTCCTCTGGTAAGTACTGAGCATATTCCCAGGAACAATGGATTTCGCTCAAAAATCCAGGCCTATGAGGCTGTTAAAACTACAGCTCTCAATGACTCTAATACTCAAGGGATTGGAAGAATTCGGCCTCAGATATTTTACTTAGAGTAACAGTAAAAGCATAATTGAGTACGATTGCATTTTAAAGACCAAGTTCATTTCCAGTTCCAGTTCTACCAGGAAGAGAGAGAGGCCGCAGCTTCAGTGGTGTCTGCGGTCACCGGGGTTAGAGGACTCCTGGTCCCACGAGTGCCGGGCCCTCTTCGGCCTGTGGGACCTCTCTCGGCTCCTACTTCTACTTCGCTGACTACGCCCCTCAGAACGCCCATTGGGCCGGCTGGAGTGTGTGTCTGAGCTTCGGCCCCGGTCTCTATCTCTGTTCTTTTCTTCTCTGGTTGAGGACCTATGTTCATGCTTCGGCTTCTCCTTCTTCGGCTCCCTCTCTCTGTCCCCTGCTCCACCGCGGCAGGTCGCCCTGACCTCGGGAGAGCTGGGCTGGTGCTTCCGCACCTCCCTGGGCTCGGACTTCTGACCCCACTCTGAGTTCTTGTTGCTATGCTTTTTAGAGCCATGGTCGTCCTTTTCCTTTACCATCTTGTTTCTGGGTGGCGAAGAGGGGGCTGGCTGCTCCGCCTGTACCTCCCGGTCAGGCTTCTCTTTGTCTTTCTTTCTTCTCTTTTTTTCCTTTTTGTCTGGAGGAAAAAAGGGGCACAACCAATGAGGAAAGGAAGATGGAGGAGGGGAGGGGATGCAAAAGGAAAGCACTGCTGGCAGTGGTGGCAAGCAGTCGTAATCGACACTTCCAGAAAGTGTCTCCGAGAAGCCAACTTGGATGTCTGTCCCCCTTGATATGTCAAGTGGCTGTATAAGGCAATTCTCACCCTTAATTACCTGTCTGAAGACACTGCCTCCAAATACAGTCACATTCTGAGGCACTGCGGGATTAGGACTTCAACATAGGAATTTGGAGGAGACAGAATTTAGCCCTTAATATTAGTCTTCCACTGACACCTCTCCTTTCCCAGTTAAAGTAAGGTTCCCCACACCTTTCCCCTTCATACGTGAGAAATGATTATCAACTCTCAGTGAACGCTAGGAAGAGCAAACACTAAGACTACCCAGAATCTTCTCTTGGGTCTTAACGCTTTACCTTTTTTGTGTTTTTTTGTGGGCTTGTCATCTTCAGAACCTTCAGATGAACTCACTGAGGGGGTGTGAGCCCCACAGCCCCTCTCCTGGAGTTCTTTGGACACATCATCTATTTCTTCAGAGTCCTTGGGAGCTCGATAGTTGGACACATGATCCACTCGAATAGTTCTTCCTTTGATCTAAGACAGACAGGCAGTGCTTCAGCAGAGATGGCCCTCCCGTTGAACTATTTGAACCCAGCTGCAAAATGCCATAGTTTGAACCACACCCTTTACCTTCCTGCTAATTCTATTTCTGGGGAAATTACTCTGAAGGAGACCTGCCCAATTGATGTCACAGCACATATACCTAGATAATAATTTGCTCAGCCCTTGGGGCAGCCAGGTAGGGCCTGGGGCAGCTGGAGTCCCTGAGGCACTTGTACCAGACAGCCTCCTCAGTTTACCCCAGTGTGCCACAGAATAACCTTCATGTTCTACGTGTGCCATTAAGTGAAGAAAGGCTGGGCAGTACTGCCCCAAAGCACAAGCAGCAGGGAAAAATGAGAATTTACATGCATAAACAATGAATTACCCTCAATCTGTAACATTTATTCACAGTAAAACATACTGTGGCCTGGCAGCTAGAAAGAATTCCTGAAATCAAGTGCAGTGCTGCAGCTGTTTTCTTGATACAGCAGTCAGGATGAGGCCAAGGAAGACCAATAGCTAGAAAGGGGTAAGGAAGCTTTTTCTTAAGCCCTCACACCTTGCTCTACCCCCACCATAATGGACAACTGGCTCACACTGATATTTTTGCTGTGAATCACAACTCTCTGGGTGAACAACAAAAATTAACCCCTCACTTAAAAACATTCAGGCAGGGCACCTGGGTGGCTCAGTCAGTTGAGCGTCTGCCTTCAGCTCAGGTCACGATCCCAGACTCCCAGGATCGAGCTTCAGGGATCGAGCCCCAGGGATCGAGCCCCACGTCGGGCTCCTTGCTCAGTGGGAAGACTGCTTCCCCCTCTCCTCTGCCCCTCCCCCTACTCCTTCTGTCTCTCTCTCTCTCTCTCAAATAAATAAAATCTTAAAAAAATTCAGGCAGATACAGACCTATTCTATAGGCAAAATCATCCAAAATTTTAAAAGTCTGGCTTTTATTGTTCCCACACAAGAGCAGATTTTTATTCTTACCTTTAAGCCTGAGCAGTTGGTCATCTTTCCTATTCCCCTTTTGAAAACATTTTTGAAAACCTCCCTTTTATGGTGACTCCATTTGACTGCTGGCTCTCTTAAAAATCAAGCCTAGTACCTTGTTCCACCCTGTCCTATAGTCACCAGCTATTCCATACTGGTGCAATCAGTGACAAACTCTCCAAATCAAAAGTCACACCCCCCCCCAAGCTATGACAATGCTTAACCAACTGCAGTGCTTTTCCTAAATAAGCATCGGAACCAGGTAGAGCATACATAAGCCTGACTTGCCCATCACCTTCTCTCAGGCCAAGGGTGGAGTAAGAGCGAACAGAGGAGAAACAACTTCAGAATGAGTTACTTTTGTAGAATTTGTCATCAGACTTTTAACTAGAGAATTTCCAGGGCCCAGTAATGCTAAGTCAGTGGAGATATATGACAGACCCACAAAGCTATGTCTTAGAGCATGAAGCCATGAGAGAGCCCCAAATCCCCTGACAGAGCATAGCATGGAAGTCTCTTTGTTGCCCAATACATCAGAGATGAGAGTGGGGTTTGAGAATGGAAAGGTGAGAAACCAGAGACTTGGGCGGGAGTGGGGGGCATGGTACCTATGCTCCTGGGAAGATGAACATGAGGAAAAGGAACAAGTGTTAGCAGGGTCATACGCCAATGAAATTATTTCCTGGGATCATTTCCTGGTCAGTATGTCCCCACACCTCTGCAACTCTCTCAACGCACCCAGGTGACCAGTACTGCCCTTGAACCTGTGGCAATCAGGTGGGAAATTAAACCGAACCCTTACATACAGGTAAAGTCCAGCCAAATCCTGCTTAGTGAACACACTCACCTTGATCCCATTAAAATTGTCAACAGCCAGAATTGTGCTCCTCTGGTCTTCATAGCAAAGGAAACAGAATCCTTTGGATTTCCCAGTCTTCTTGTCCCGCACCAGATTAATGTTAACAATCTCCCCATATCTATTTATTTTATAAAAGAGTAAGACACTATTGATTTAAAATGCAAAAACTTTCAGACTGAATGACAAAACAAAATTCAAATAATATAATCTGTACAGGAGACACATCTAGAACAAGATAACATAAAAAGGTTAAAAATAAAAATTAGACAAGGACAGAGCAGGAACACCCAATTACAAAATGGGTGGTAATATTAAGATCAAAGATGAATTCAAGGCCAAAAAAGATATTTAAATGGGACTAAGAGAGCTCTTTTACACTGAAAAAGGTCCTGATATATTACAAAGATATGTCGTGAACCTTTATGCATAAGCTCACAAATCAAAAATTTAATTACAGAAACTATTAAAAATACAGAGAAACTGGTAACAAAGGTTATGAGGTATTTTAACATACTACTTAAGTTTATAACACATAAAATTGGTAAAAATAAGGTCAGATGAATTAATATCAATATATAATTATATAACATAAATATAAATAAATAACAATTATGTTAACAAATATTAATGTCAAACCAGTGGATATATAGATATATTTGAATCTTACAAAAAGAGGACAATTTCTTCTCAAGAATCCATGAAATATGTATTAAAATTGACTACAAAGTAAACCTCAATAACTTCTAAAAACAGAACAGAATATGTTCTCCAATCACAATGCTCTCCAGCTGGAAATAATATTTTAAATAAAAAATACCCTACTAGCTAGAACTTGAAACCTACTCTCCTAGCTAACAACTGGATGAAAGTGAAATAAAGAAAAAAATCAACAGCAGATTACTTAAAAAATAACAAAAATGAGAAGAATATATACCAAAACTTATGGGATGCAGCTAAAACCACACTCAGAAAAATCTGTAACCTTAGAGAATTTTACTGTTAAAAAGGCAGAATGAGTATAAAACAAATCGAAGGAAAGCAGATGGGAGTTAATAAAGATAAAAGCAGAAATTAAGAGAAAATAGAAAAAAATTCAACCTTACTCCTTATACAAAGTTAAATTCCAGATAAGTTAAAGATTCATAAATTAAAAAGTAAAGTCATAAAAATAAAATAGGAATTGGTGGATACTTAATAACATGATCACATACATACATTCCGGCCAGATATCTAGCATCTTACCTAACAGAAAATACAGGTTTCTCCCGCTACCCGAATGTTCATTTTATGTCACTTCGCTTTTACAAAAGACCTACATTAGTACCTGTTTTCACTAACCGAAAGAAAGCTGAAGAGGATTTTCACTCTTATGACATAGTAACTGCTTCATCACTTTATGCCGTTTTAGCTTAGAAAGCTTTCACAGAACACTCTACCTCCGAATAGCAGGGGAAACCTGTACTGGAGCTGATTCAACTAAGGTCAGGAACTATTTAACACTATTTAACATTGTAGGTATAGGCCAGTGCAATTAGACAGGAGAAAACAGATGTAAAAAAATGAAAAAGTAAAACTATCTCTATTTGAAGATTTATATATAATAGTATGTATAGAAAACCCAAGAGAATTAATGATAAACAATGATAAAAACAAACAGTAGAATAATTCAGGAAGGTAACAGGATATAAAGGTAAAAAAATAAAACACTCTCTTACAAAAACAATAATCAGTTAGAAGATATAACCAAAGAGAAACCCCATTTGTATTAGCAACAAAAAACTTAAAATACTTAGAAATAAACTTAGCAACAAGCAATGTACAAAGTCTATATAGAGAAAATTTTTTAAAACTGAAAGACACACACAGATTTGAACAAACATAGAAGACATCCCCTGTTTTTGGGTAGGATGACTCAACATCTTAAAGACAGCAACATCTTCCCCCAAGTTAATACTTAAATTTAATGTAGTACAAGTTGTGTTTTACTTTCCTGGAGCTGGATAAGTTAATTCTAAAGTTCTCATGGAAAAATGAACATGTAAGAGTAGATGGAAAAACTTTAAAAAAGGAACAATGAGGGAGAGTAACTCTCCCAGATACTAAACACACTGAAAACATTGTGATTAATTAGTGTGGTACTGGCACATGAAGAGACAGACAGACCAATAGAACAGAAAAGAAAGCCAAGAAAGAGACTCAAGTATATATGGAAAAATTAGGAAGATGATATGGGTGACATCCCAATTTGCTGGGGGAAAATATGAACTTTTTTATAAATGTTGGGACAACTGGATAGCCATTGAAAAAACATGAAATTGGATCCGTGTCTCACACTATACATCAGAATAACTCTAAATGGATCAGAGATTTCAATGCATAAAATTGAAACCATACAAGTACTAGAAGGGAACACAGATGGGTGGGTGGGGAGAAATACTATCTAATTATGACTCAAAATCCAGAAGCAACAAAAAAAGACTGATAAATCTGACCATATAAAACACTAGAGTGTGAGACTATACAGGGTCTGCACAAAGGAGTTTTTGGGGGGGATGGAATTGTTCTTCATCCTAACTGTGGGGGTGACTACACAAATCTATACACGTATTAAAGTTCACAGGACTGTACACTCCCTAAAAAAAGTCAATTTTACCATATAATTTAAACACATGAATAAATTTTTTTAAATTTTGCACAGCAAAAAAAAAAAAAAAGAAAGAAAGAAACCCCACAACAAAGTCAAAAGACAAATGACAAAATAGGAGAAAATATTTACAACTCATATCACAGATAAAGGACCAGAAAGTAATTTTTTTCCTTTTTGCTATAAAGAACATCATCAGGACAACTGGTAAAGCTGAATAAAGTCTATGGATTAGATCAGTGTTAACTTCCTGAATTTAATCACCATACCGAGGTTAAACAAGAGAATGCTCTTGTTTTGGGGGGAAACAAATATTGAAGAATTTAGGGATAAATGGGCATCATGCCTGCAACTGACTCTCAAACAGTTCAGAAAAAAATAATAGGTATACGTGGAGAGAAATGACAAAGCAAATGTAGTAAAATGTTAACATCTGGGGATTCTAAGCGAAGGGGAAACAGGTATTCTTTACACTACTTTATAACTTTCCTATTTTAAGCCTGAGATTATTTCCAAATAAAAAGTAAAGAGAATATAGAAACTCATTTAAATGGACTCCTACAGACCAAATTGGGACAATCTGAGCATCAAGAAATAATAATGATGGCAATGTAGTAAAACACATCAAATTAAGTAAAATAAGTCCACAGTAACACAATACATGACAAAGTGGTATAACAGAGTTGAAACCATTAAGAGCTTTTGTAAAATCACTAAGAATATGAGGAACACATCAACAGAAGAAAACAAGCAAAGGATATGAAAAGACAACTTAACAAAAAAACAAGAAATAATGGCATGTAAATCTATGAAAAGATGTTCTACTTCACTGATAATTAAATAAAGGCAAAGTAAACTCATAATGAGAAACCATATGACAAATATTTTTTTAAAATAACCACTGCCAATTAGGATTCAGAAAAATGGGCATTCTAGTGAGAGTAGAAACTGATACAACCTTCTCAGAGAGCAATTTGGCCATATTTACAAAACATCTTAAAAATGCTGATCTAGTAATTTCACTAAGGAAATTATCAGCAATGCATACAAAGGATGTATATACTACAATGTATATACTAAATATGTATATACATATACTATAATGTATATACTGAATATATATATGTATACATATAGTGTGTGTGTATATATATATACACTAAAATGCAATACAATTTATAACAGCAAATAATGCCCAACATTTAAAAAAAAAAAAGATGATAAAAAAATACACCAAAATGTTAACAGTTTTTCCTTAAAGTACATTCTGGTTTCTTCTCTATGCTTTCCCTTTTTGCCAAATGTTCTATAGTGATTACACATTACCTTGATAATCAGAAAACAAAACATTTTTTGAAAACCACTGTTACCAACGGCAAAGGCAATCTTCATGGAGAGCAATGTGTACAGCCAGAAGAGAGAATGAGAATAAACAAACACACTAGCTGATCATCACTCAATGCAAATAAGACAAAAACAGCCTCTAGATGGAAGGCTGGACCAGGCAGAGGTATCATAAGGGGTGGAAATTACAGGCTGCACCTGCTGTGACCTTCCAGCTCCCCAGAAGTAGGAGGAAACAGCCTCTGTCCCTTTCTGGGCGCTTTGCAGTGTGGGCTGCGGAGGCCCTCTCCCATGGCCTTCAATGTGTATTGCCCAATTGCGTTCCCATGGCCCTCTCCCCCATATGCTGCCCGACCACTCAGCCAGGGTCCTCCTCCTATCGGACGGCCCAACCATCCCCTGCCATGGCTGGCTGTGTTTGCTTCCCCAAACCCTTCCGCCACGGTCCTCTGCCTGTACATGCTGTCCAACTTCTCTGCAACAGTCCTCTGCCCTCGGGGCCCCTCTGGCCTTACAGACTGTCTAACCACTCTGTGTAGCTCTGGGTTGGGCCCAGCCCCTCTCTACCAGCTGCCACAACCAGAGCAAGCTGCCAAGACGCTCTCCCACCCAATGCTGCTGCTTTCATCTCATAGCGGAATGAAGAATATATGGTTGACCTATTCATTCTTGTTCCTCAACAGCCTGTAATTCTCAGCTTCTGGGTAAAGAGACTGGCTCTGCTCAGTAACCTTATGCTCATCTAGAAACAAAGAAAACAAACTACTGCCTAAACCTTTTGCTTTTTCTCCCATTCTTCTGTGCTTTGCCCTAATCCTGCAACACCACACAGGTGTAAGCCAGAAGGGCTCTGTGATCATGGAAACCCCTTAGTTTGCAGGAGCCCAAAGAGCCCAACATGGTAGCTTCCTGTGAGTTCCAGTCTGTTCTGGTGTTGGCCCAGGCTGAACAAGCCTCACTGAAGAAGCAATAAAAACAGTCCAGAATCCCCAAGACAGCCTCCTAAATCATCCAACTTCTTGGATTGTCCATATTGGAAGAGTTCTACAACCATGTCCTGGGGCTCATCTAGACTAGAGCAGAAGCTCCAGCCCTCCCCATGCAGGGAGGCCAGTGAGCCTACAATAAAATAAATGGATTCTGTGATGCCACAAAATGCATTATGGAAGCATACTCTGGTGACCCAGAAGGCAGGAAATGAAAAAAAACTTACTGTGAGAACACACAGATGATGTCCCCTTCAGTCAGTTCATAAGGAAGCCCTCCTAGAAGAGAAAACCACATTTCAGTTCCACAAACATTTACCAAGCGTCTACTACATACCATGCACCAGGCCCGGCACTGGGGGGTGCAAAGAAGAGTAAGCCACAGAGCCTGCTCTCAAAGAACTCAGTCTGATGACACAACAGAAGCATACATAAGGTGCAGCATTAGTGCAGCAAAAGAAGTGATTAACTTTGTGGAAAGGTTGGTGTCCCCACTAACCAAATACTCCTCACACCCAAAATCTTATGGACAAAGCAGATAGTTTCTGGCATAAAACTCTGCTTCGACAAACACATCTTGAACTCACCTGCTCTTTACCCACAAATTCACAGCTAAGATCCAAAAATCAGTTTAAATATGAAAATATTAACCCCACCTCACATAGACTAAGGAGTTTATAATCCTTAGTTGTCTTTATAGACAACTGTTCAGCATTTCATAGGAAATAAATTCCCCTGCAAATCTTTCCTTCCTCATCTGTAAAATGGGGACTTTGGTACTTACTTCACAGAATTGTAAGAATTAAATAAAACAATGGATATAAAGTGCTTAGCACAATATAACAGAACAAACTGTCAAATTACTGGAAGTGACACAAAGTGAATATAGAGATGACAATATGGCCATGGGCAGAAGGCAGGAGCTAATTAGATGAGGAAAATGAATTCTGATGGAAGGGGAAAGGGCAGGGGACTAGCAGTAATACAGGATCGTGCCTGAGACCATGAGTTCTAGAATCCCATAGTGCTGGCTGTCCCACTTACTAGCTGTGTGACCTTACGTAAGTCCATTAACTTCCCTGCACCTGTTTCCTCAGCTCTGTAATAGGGGACGCGGTATAACAATGGTCTCTGAAACCAAGAAACCAAGTGGCAAGACTCTTACCACAGTGAATGGCAAAGGGTAACTATCACGGACACTGGTTTGGCAGGGGGAGCAGACTAAAAATGGGAGAGAAAAGAGATACGGAAAACGGATTTACGGGGCAGCCAGCAGAAGGAAATAAAAGTGCGGGATGAATGCCGGGAGGAATGAAAGGCGGGAATACTGAAAGGTTAGGAAGTAGGCCAGGAGAGGAGGAGGAGCCGTGCAGGGGAAAGATGTGGACCTCACCCAGGAAGATCCAGGCGCTGTCTTTGTACTCGGAGTGCCAGGACACCTTATCTGCCACCCCAAGCTGGACCTCACGCTCATTCAGCTCGTTGATCAGCTTCACTTTAGTTAAAGGGCTGCAGAGAGGGCGTAAAACCGGACCTTAAGTGCGGCCTGGCCAGAGGTAAGGGTGAGCAAAACTAGGGGACTAGTTTCCAGTCTCCGCGCCTCTCCCGCCCCTCGGCCCGGCAGACGCTCTACCACCCCAGCCCTGGTGGACCACCTCCCGCGGCCCATCCCTACTTCTTCAGAGGTAAACTGAGTCCTTACTTCATCTTCTCAGGTTCGCGCTCAGCACCGAGACCCTGACTTCCGGGCGAGTCTGCACCGCGCGTGCGCAGCCCCGACGCAGCGCTCCCATTGGACTCCGCGGAGCTCGCGTCGCGCCGGAAGAGCTGGGCCGCGCCGGGGTGTGGCGCTTGCGCACTAGCGCGGAAAGGGACTCCTCGCTCTGCGTGTTTCGCTCCGCCAGAGAATTTTTGTCTAGTCCCTCGGTCCGTCCCTCTGTGGGACGGGAACGTGGGTGTGAGCCGGGTTTATTATAGGACCCTCAGCCCCTGCACGATGCCTGGCATTGATTGGGCGAGCTATAAATGTTTGCTGAATAAAGACTGAAAAATGTGCCCGTTATGGCGACTTAAGTCCCAGCCTTTGCTTGCTCTCAGTGCAAATCCCTACTGGGGCTTCATTCCCAGCCAGTTGCTCACGCACACACACACCCATCAAAGCATCCCTGTTCAGGAATTACAGCAGAAAAGTGAAGAAGATATGTGAGAGGGTAAATCTTTTTTTTTTTTCTTCCTCAAATTCAAATGCACAGGCAACTGACCAGTGTGCCTCCATAGGCTGAATTGAATACCCAGATTTGTGTTAAGAGCTGTTACCCTCAGCCACCCTTTTCCATTGTCTCGCTTCTACTTAAGCAGGAGGCAGAAAGAAATAGTGAAAAAGCTAATAATTGAGCAGATGCTAGATTGTGTGCTAAGAAATTCACATGTACTGGCCCTCCATCCTCACAACCACCCCCATAGAGTCTATAGATACAATTACCCTCCTCATTTTACAGAGGAAGAAACTGAGATTCAAAGGAGTTAATTAGTTAATTCAAAGGAGGTACTCTGCCTCTACCTATCAGGTCTGGTTGATTTAATCAGTTCTTACTGAGTATCTATATTTGTCCTATAAGGCATGTCTGTAGACAGGAATGTAAGGTGAGGTTCTCTGCCCGAAGGAGCTAATATCTTTGAGGAGACAAGATAAATTTGCTTGGTAGATTTCACTCCAGAAATAACCAGGAATCCATAGAAGAGATGGTGGCATATAATGTGTGATTTAAGCCATATTGAAGCTTTGACTCTGTCTCACATGTGTCCTCATCAATAACTGGTATCAGACCATGCATGGTATAAAAGTGAAGTTCCAGAGCTGTGTAGTTCTCTTTGTAAGCCTAGCTCAGAACCCCAGAAATTAGGCACTTCACCAAGTACTCTGATGATGATGGTGATGATGACAACTCTACCCTCAATGACTCACCATCTACCCATATCCTGCCAAAAAGCAGGAAACTCCCCACCAATGACAGTTTCTCTTCATTCATTCTGTGTTTGTGCCCCTCCCCCAGTCCAAACCAGCTATTCATTAACTTTGTGAAATTATCTTGGCAATGAAAACTAAACAGTGACAGATTGCATACAGGTTTCATCTGCTCCTGGGAATCTTAGGTTGCTTAGTTGTAGGGTTGAAGTAGCCACTGCAAAGTGGTAAACTAGCATGCAGCATTATCTGGCTGGATTCTTCAGGCAACTGTGAAATGAGAGAAATAGGGCTAAACCTGTGTCTTGGTCATCAGGACGGTTCAAAAGGAAGCTGAAGTGAAAGAGGAGATTAAGACCAACCAAAGGGAAGGACAGTTTAGTTGGAGGAAGGCGTGGGAAGATTGCTACTATCTAGCTAGTAGGTTCAGCAGAGATATTCTGAACCCGGGAGAACTTCAAACCATCCCAGGTTACCCGGGACATCTCCATTAACATGCTTCCAATTGGTAGGAATTGGTAGGTAAGATGATGCCTAGAGATATCCACAAGTGTAAGTGGAAAGGGGATGAGGATCGAGGGGACCCTCTGATCTTAGCATCTGAGAGGAGGACCAGGGTTTGCTATTCAAGGTGGCTACTAGTGATCTCCACCAGTAACATTGATTTAGCACCCACTGGATGGACAGTTCAGGTCTAGGTCCTCTGGGCAATGTTAAGGAAGCCAAAGGCAATCCTCACATTCAAGGCAAGGCCAAGCAACATGTCCAGCCAATTTCATCTCTTCACTTCCCACCACACCACATCCCAAAACAGCTTTCCCTCCTGACTTCCCTATTTCAAGCAATGCTATCACCATTTTTCTGGTTGCCCAGGTACAAACAGGGGTTTCATATTTCAGTCATCCTTATTCCTCACCCAAAGATATCTATCAAATCACTAAGTCCTAATAATTGTGCTACTGCAGTGTCTATAAAATGCATCTCATCTAGTCACAGTTCTGTTTCTTTTTTAAAAAAGATTTTATTTATTTACTTATTTATTTGAGAGAGAGTGAGAGACAGAGCACGAGTGGAAGGGGAGGGGTGGAGGGAGAAGCAGGCTCCCTGCTGAGCAGGGAGCCAGACACGGGGCTCAATCCCAGGACCCCAGGATCATGACGTGAGATGAATGCAGATGCCTAACCGACTGAGCCAGGCACCCCAACAGTTCTGTTTCATTATCACATGACTTCTAGTTCTTTCACTACTCTCAGAACTGCCTTGGCCCCTATTCTCCTGTCTTTCCTCCCACTGCTCCCCAACACAAAGCCTCAACTTCAGCCAGGTTACACTTCTATCCATTTCCTCAGGGGCTCCTTTCATTTCCAACCTAGACACCCTGCTGGGAAAGCCCCACACCCCTGGATGGCTCTTCTCTCTCTGAAATCTGCCCAAGCTCCAAACCCCCATCCAGGCACCCCTTAAGCAGGAAACATTTCCTGACCTCATCAGTACACAGTGATGGTTCCCACTTCTGAACTCTGCAGCACATCATAACATTTTCATGTTATCTCCCCAGAAAGAGTGTGAGATCCTGGAAAAGAAAGGTTCTTTCTTTTTAAGCCCTCAGCACCTCAAACACCTTTCTGCACACATAGCAAGCAACCAATACAACTATTGGTTAATGAAATTGAAAACACACAGAGCTATGGTTACCTTTGCGGAAGCAGATGAGGAAAGGAGGAGAGAAGCTTTTACTTACCCTTTGTTTCTTTCTATACTGTTAGAATTTTCTTCCCTGGGCTCCTGGGTGGCTCAGATGGTTAAGCGTCTGCCTTCGGCTCAGGTCATGATCTCAGGGTCCTGGAATCGAGTCCCGCATCGGGTTCCCTGCTCAGTGCAGAGCCTGCTTCTCCCTCTCCCTCTGCCACTCCCTCCGCTTGTGCTCTTCTGTCTATCTCTCTGTCAAAGAAATAAATAAAATCTAAAAAAAAAAAAAAAAAAGAAAAAGAAAAAAAGAATTTTCTTCCCTTTATCCAGATTATCACTTACATTTTTTATTTTTATTTTTTAAAAGATTTTACTTATTTTACTTGACAGAGAGCACACGCAGGGGGAGCAGCCGGCAGAGGAAGAAGGAGAAGCAGGCTCCCTGCTGAGCAGAGAGCCCAATGCAGGGCTTGATCCCAGAACCCTGGGATCATGACCTGAGCCAAAGGCAGATGCTTAACCAACTGAGCCACCCAGTTGCCCCATCACTTACATTTTTTATTGCCATGTTATCTTGGCAGACCTTTATTTTCTCACTTTTGTCTTTTGTTCATTCAACAAATATTCATTGAACAACTTTTACATGCTAGACACTGTTCTAGGTGCTAGGGTTATAACAATAAATAAGGCAAGGAGAGTTCCTTTCCTCATGGAGTTTACATTCTTGGGGAAGGAGGAAAATAAACATATAAATATACATCCAACGTTGAAAAGTGCTATAAAGGGTAAGGGGACAGAGAATGACAAAGTTTTGCTATTTTAAAAAGGTGATGGGTCAAAGAAGCCCTCCCTGATAAGGTGACATGGAGGCAGAGACCTGCAAGAAGATGGGGAGCAAGTCATGGGGATGTTCAGGAGAGGAATGTTCAGGCAGAGTGAACAGTAAGTGCAAAGGTCCTGAGACAGGAGTGTGTTTGAGAAACAATAAGGAGGCCAGAGTGGCTAGAGAGGAGCAGGCAAGAAAGAGAATGACAGATTTTTGTTTATTTAACAAAATCTGATTTAATACCCACCATGTACCAGACATTGTTCTAGGTACTTTATATACATTAACACATTTGCTTCTCACAACAATCCTATGTGGTAGACACTATAACCCCATGTTGCAGATGAGGAAATTGGGGCACAGAGAGGTCATTTGCCCTATGTCACACAGCTGGTCAATGGTAGAGCCAGGATTTGAATCCAGGTGGTATGGCTCCAACGTCTGCACCCTTAGATAAGTGGGGTAAGAGGAACAGATCAGGCAGGGGCATGTTGGGTATCAACTTTAGATTTGACTCAGTGTGAGGTGAGAAACCAACAAAGTATTCTGATCTGGCTTACAATTTAGCAGGATGACCTTGGCTGCAAACTGTGGGTTGGAAAGAGTGCCTAGGGTAGAGTCAGGGAGACTAGGAAGCCTTGCAATAATTCAGGCAAGAGATGATGGTGGTTTGCCTCAGGGAGCAGCTAAGGAGAGGGTGGCCCATGTTGGTATTTTTTAAACTAAAAAATATATTAAAAAGAGTAAAGAACACACATGACATCAACAGAAAGGTATATGATGTTTATGAGTGCTCGGGTGCTGGGCTAGATGCTGAGGATACTACAGTAAACAAGATCACAAGACCCAGTCCCTGCCCTTGAACAGCTCACAAAGTTGCCAGATAGTTGTATATGTGAATAAACATAATACAAAGGGATGAGGGTCAAAATGAAGGTGTGAGTGAAATGTCATTGGAACCAGTTGAGGAATCAATTAATTCTGACTACTGGGAGTCAGAGGGAGGTGGGGGTGGAAAGCAGAGTGTCAGGGAAAGCTACCGTGCAGCAGGGGACAGTTGAAAGGCAGGGAGGAAGACTGGGGTGGGAGAAAACAGATGAATTTGGTTGGCAAATTGTTGAGTTTAAAGCACCCAAGGAGCCAACAAAGGAGACCAAGGAAGAGGAGGACAGATGAAGATGAAGCAGCAGGAGAAAGTAGGATTCAAGAAGAGAGCAAAAAGGGGCGCCTGGGTGGCTCAGTCGTTAAGATTAAGATTTGACAAACAGACAAACAATGTCTGTTCCTTAATTATAGGTTGTCTGGAGGAATAGAGAATAAGAAATGATGGGTTGTGTTAATAGCATCT